GTATATATATATGTGTGTATATATATGTATATACATATATTATCATGTATACTATAATATAAAATATTACTGATATATTACTTGGGACAATAACTTCTGTTTAGATTTTGATCGTTTGCAAACCTGTATATCCCTACATGCATAAATATAGAAAAAATCATATATTACCGCATATTGCGTTCAGTGTGTGCTCGCTAACAAATGAAACTAAATCCTGTATAACTGTTTCTTCACTTTCTTTCAGAGATTTTGCCATATGGTTTGACTCTTCAACCAAAACATCAACAAAGTGCCGTAGTATATTAAAATGAAATGCAGGCGTGAGTAGTTTTCGTCGAGTGTGCCATTTGTTTCCTGAAAAAAACAAAAGTAGGATATACAGGGTGTCCCAGAATTGGTGTAACATCTCTCGTAGACAGATAGAAAAAGTAAAATTGAGTCGATAAGTTGTATACCATTTTGCTAGATTCGCATTAGTTACCGAAATTTTAATTAACAAAGGTCCGCGAATAAGCGTACATCGGTCTGTCTTACGCGCATAGGACAGCCCAGCGCGCTTCACACAATTACATTTTAATATGTATACGTTATAGTAGATACTGTTATATTAGCTCCTTCTGTATGTCGCTACGAGTAACACCGTAAGCGCGTGAAGCGCGCCAGACTGTCTTATAGCCAGTCTACAATAAAGGAAGTAAAACTGTAGGAGTAGAGAGTAAACTAATTTTCGGTGAAAAAACAACGAGAGAGAAATTACGAAATGGGCAATTCCCATTTTGCAATGCCTACTGCCTTACTGTTAGCCAATGACAGACGTGTATTAAACAACGCGAAATAAGTACTTGTATAGACAAAAATAAAATAACTTCAAGAATCTTACTTCTTACTCTATACTGCTTACTTCCATTGTAGACGACCCTTTACGCGACCGATGCATGTTTATTCATTGATTTTTGTTACTTAAGATCTCGATAACTATGGCGAATCTAGCAAAATGATATAGGACTTTTCGACTCAGTTTTATTCCTTCTACCTGTTTACGAGAGACATCACACCAATTCTGGGACACTTTGTATTTACAGATTGTTCCATAATTGCCGTCTAACGCTCGTAGGTAGATAGAAGGGGTTATTCTAAGACGAAAAGTTTTATACCACTTTGCAAGATTCGCAATAATTAACGCAATATTAATTAATAAAGATCTGCTACTTAGCGTGCATCTAGCGTAAGGACAGCCCAGTCTGTCGCGCCGTACCGATGAAATACAATAGCGCAAATAGTGCGCTTCTCGACGGCAACCTGTATGGTACCTATGTATGCACATGTTCTATTATCTCCTCCCATTCCGTCGCTACGGCGCGACAGACTGAGCTGTCTTTACGCGGATACACATTGATTAGCGGATCTTTATTAATTAATATTTCGTTACTTATTACGAATCTTGCAAAGTGGTATAGAACTATTTGTCTTACAATAACCTCTTCTATTTATCTATGAGCGGTTAAACGGCATTTATAAAACACCCTGTATATATATACAAGGTGTCCGACAATTACCTTACAATCTCTGGTAAGCGGGAAAGAAGGAGTAAAACTGAGTCAAAAAATCCTGAACCATTTTTTTCTATTACATATAATAGAGGATTATTTTAATTATTGAATAAATCAAGTCAATCAGCGCGGACCTGTAGCCAAACGCACGTTAGTAAACCACCTTTCTAGTGTGCGTGAGTGCTCCGCGCAGCTCACTGACGTGCGCCCGGCTAAAAGTCGGCGCATATTGGCTTGATTTATTCAATAATTATTCCTTTATTATATGCAATAGAAACAAAAGGTTCAGGACTTTTCAACTCAGTTTTACTCCTTCTATCTGCCTACGAGAAATTTTAAAGTAATTGTCGGACATTCTGTATATCGAAGTAAAAGCTATGTTTTGTGCAAATTATTATAGGAAAATAAGATAAAACATTTTAACTTGTACATATTATAATCATTAATATATGTATACTATGTAAGCGGAACGCGATATAATTCTTATAATTAAGTCAGTGATAGTGTAAGATACATGCTCTTTATACGTCGCACATTTTTAGATATGTATATTTCCTAACGCGTCATGCATTATTTGACTATTACATATTTGCTCTTATATTTTATTGATGTAACTGTACCGATAAAAAAGTTCAGACCATTTTGTTGTGTACATGCTTTCTTTACACTATTTATAGTACAAGTATAGTTGTAAATTTTTGCTTTAATTCAGTTTTTCTAAATAATATAATAAGTTATAATATATTAATGTTATTAAATATGTTATTAAATATGCTAAAGGTATTAAAAACTAGTGTCGTTATACCTTTGCTTGTAAGAAGACCATCGTTAAGCCATGGACGTACCATGCTGTACAATCTACTTTTGGCATTATGTTTCGTAGTGCTTAAAACTTTCTGAAATTGCAAGAGAACGACAGTGAAAATATGAAGTTTTTCTAATCTAATTTCAGTACAACTAATTTATAAATTATCTCATATATGTATCTTTTTAAATTTTGAAGTTTTGTTTTTCTTAAATTATAGATGACAACAGTAATTTTTAAGTCGCGAAACTACGTGTCAGTGTACACTTGCAAAGAAGTATACACTATTTTCATATTTTATTACACCTCCAAATCATCTGGATGACGAAGGAATATAGTACATTCAGGACCTATCCAGAGTTTCATAACGGGGTACATGGTGTCGACATAATAACGCAAAAGTATCCATATATTTCCTAAAAAATGTACTAAATATAAATAATATTCAAAATAAAAGTGTGCACAACATCTAAAAGGTTTCGATAGTTTTGGTAATCTTTTTAACGTAATGTGTAAAAAGAAGTATAATACTTGCGTGTTGAACATTGAAATAAAAGTGCCGAACCGAGAATCGGAACACTTGGTGGACCTGGTATAAGGCGAATAAGTCGCCCACTTCGTTTATGATGCACATAATAATCATACAATATTACATATAAAATCAACACCAACAATATTGTTATTATCATGATTCACGTTGATGTCTAAATTGGATCAATTAGATTCGTGTCTTCACAATATACTAGTTCTGCGTATTTCACGCGCAAACAATGATAACTCGTTTTCAGTTATGTTATGATAACGACTGAACTTGGATCTCTTAAGATCCGACACACTAGATACATATGTTTTACATGTGTTTCACAACTCTTACATAGAACTGATAAATGTATTTTGAAAACTGAAATATCTTAAGTAGATATTCGTGAAAAGTATCAAAGGTCAAAAAAATAGTAAATTATAACTGTGCAATGACGTCCAATAAGACCGTTTTGTTTAGACTGTGATTTTATTGCAGAGTAGAATAAATTTTTCTCTGATTGGTTAAGACAATTTTTGAACTATTTTTTTCAGTTGTGTAAATAAATACATATCACACATACTTTTATATATTATCTGAACACACTTGATCTAGCGGAATAACTGTCACAAACTGCGGTTTTATGTGAATATATATACTCTTTGACTATTGTATTCATCTATTCTCTTCTCTGTTAGTAATTATCTGGTAGACGGCGACATAAAAAGTCAAGCGGAGTCTATTTATATAGTCGCATTTATATAATAGGTATGTTTACTGGTGTGTGAACACATTTGAATTTCATTTCTCAGTTTCGACCGAAACCGAAACCGAAACCGAAACTTTCCTTTTATTAATTTCTTATTATTTTTTTTATTTTGAGCCTATGTTTTTGTTAATTTTAGCTAGCTGCAGGTGCATGTTAAAAACATTTTTATTTAATAAACGAATAGCTTTATTGCTCTTAGAAAATCAACAAAAAAAAGTATCATAAACTTTCTTCTGTATGTGAAGTGAGATGTGTACTTCACGCAGACAAAAAATCATAGAGAAATGAGGTCTTTATTGTCAATATCAGTACTGTACTAAAAAAAAAAAAAAAAAATATTACACAATTATTATTACAGTCTCTTTAACAGTCAAAGTTTTAGTTATAAAAATAAATTAAAACTTGAGTTTGTAACAAAAGATATCAACATGTCAAGTACCTATTATTAATTCAAAGACATGTAATTACGCATTATCATAATAATACTTATGAAGTTGCCAACAAAAGATAGTTAAAAAAAAAACTTTGTACTTAATAAGATTAAGTAAAGACAAACTTTTTCTTTTATCTAAAAAGCGAAATGACTTCTATCTAATCTTTGGTTATTATTTAGCGCGATAAGTCGACAACTCACGAATGCGAACGAAGTTTCGGTTTCGGTAGTAGTTTCGGCCGGTTCGCTGCCAAAACCGAAACTAAATCGAAACTCCAATGTTGCGCCGAAACTAGCCGAAACCGAACCTTCGATCGGACACTAATCGTATCAGCTTCATATGACATTGTTTACATTATCGAGACAAAGCCGATTTAATACAAATGCTTAATATGCGTATTAAACGATTGCTGTAAACTAGGCCTATAAGAAAGATGGCTTACATCATGTAATGTCTTAGCAACGAGAGCCGAAATAAACAACCCTAATAGGCACATTTGTGAAAACATTGCACAAAAATGGCATCATGAATGGCGACAATTTTGCAATGATTGCACTAAGATGATTCGTCATAACGCAACAGTTTTATCGAAATAAAAGTTTGTAAAGAATATTTGTCAAAAAGTGCAAAAAAGTCGTTATGCATTTCCACAGTATATATCTCCAATAGGCAAATTGTGAAAATATTGCACAAATATGACATCATGAGTGACGACGATTTCTTGCATTTCTTCATATGCAATCATATTTCTACATATTTGAAACATCACACATAGCTGAATATCTTTTCTCAATTATTGGACAATTTCTTTGTGAAATTAATTTTGTAAATATAATGCTAAGATGATTCGCCATATCGTTATTCTTTTGCCGAAAAGAAAAGATGAATGTTTTTGCATCTATTTCCTAAAATATGTCTGTATAATTGCAAATTACAATTTTAGTGTAAGATTTCGTCACATACTTTTGGAAATAGTTTCCTATCAGGGTATCGATAAAAATATGTTGTTGAACTTGTATCTTCAACAGAAATCTCAAGTACCTCTTAATAAAAACAAAATACACACGTGTTCTACAAGCAATTTGTCCACGTTAGGAGAATGATGAAATTGCTTTACTTTATATACTGTTCTGCTGGACAGATAAAGTTTTCAGAAATCTTAGACGTCACAAAATAAGAGCACTCTATAATTCATGATAAATATCTTATCGCAATATTTACTTGTATGTGTGTGTTCAAAGCCTTTTTATTTTATACACAATTTTCATGCAGAAAGAACTGCAGATTTAGCAAGAAAAACTTCAAATATTGCTTTTGTGTGATCACAAAATATATAATATACTTATTTCTTTTTTAATGAGACATGTCATCTTACGTATGCGTCAGATATTTCTTACATTTAAAAAACTTTGCAATCTTACACTCGGTTGTAACGCTACATCTACTTAGCATTAGACCGCAAATGGTATTTTTAACCACGATGAGAATAAATCTATGAGAAATTGTTTCTAAGAAACTATTTATTAATAAATTAACGTGAAGGAAAAAGTAGAGAGGAAAGTCATATAAGAGAGGCGTGTCATATAAAATGACACGCAATGATAAGAAGGCCACATGAACTGCGTATTTATGTATAAGTATATATAAGTATATTACTGATACAACTTTACAGATTGTAGCGTGTTTCAAAACACTAGATTTGTCATTGAAAGAGTAATGTTTATGTTCCTCTTGAATGATGCTTTCTGTTTCCCTTTTGTTTTCCTCACTAATAATATCACTATAAATCTTTAAGTACAATCTTTAAGTAACACATTCATCTTAATATTTTCTGTCCGTGAATTTGCCACTTTGTTGTGAATCTTTAAAGTGCAAGTGTGTTCGATTCGAGCTAAACGTCGCGCGATCTTATCACGCAACAGCCAATCACAGGCAGCTGCGTGATTCTGAACGCTGCTGACGTCACTTGTGTTTACAAGTGCGGAAGACCTGGATTTGTGCAGCCAAGTGTCTAGAATGAATTCCTACTAAAGTGCACGTATTTGCAACGAAAAGGTTCATGAAAAGTGATCTGTTCTTATACTGCTGGAAACGAAAAAATGTCTAATTTGAGAAGAGAAGAAGAAAGGTTGATACAGTATATAATACATACGTAATGTACAATGAAAATATAAAGTGACTTTAACGATACTTTACATAATCCTTTAGTTCAAAAGCTACTAAGTCGATTTAACAAAGATTTATATAAACATATGTAATTCTACATACAGATGTTTACAAATTGTGTGTGATCATAAATTAACACACATCGTTACATGTATCCATTTTTGACACAATGGACTATTATATCTGCTAGTCTCTGTCTTCCACTTGATGTTTTGATATTGTGTAATACCCATACGTCAGCAATATTTACCACTTCTTCGCCTTTAATAAGATCTAGATCGAACGACTCGGATGAATCCAATAGACTAAACGGAACGGTCACGAGCGAAACTCCCAATCCAAAAATAAAATGATCTTTCACCTACAATCAATGTCACTTGATGTACAGTACTTCTCAAAATCTTAAAACACAAATAATGTTAAACAAAAAGTAAAGATTACCTCTTTCTTAAATAAGTCCCAAGGATAAATTTTCTCTGGATCCGATCCAAGGGATTTAATAGCACTGCTTAATTCGGTGTAATAGATCTTCAATACATCGTCGTAATACTGATCACGAAATGATTTGGAGGTGCACGAGTAAATCAAGAAGGAAAGGTCACACATAGGACTTGAACAACGTGAGAACTGAAAGTCGAGCATCAACGCTTCCTTTTGATCCTGTCCGATGTCTCGGATCAAAAAGTTTGGAGGCCAACAATCACCTGCCAATATCATAGACGTTGGAGCTTCTTTTTTCTGACACATTTTACACATTATGTCAAATATCGCACGAGGTTCGTAGGTATTGAATCGTTTGTCAGTTTCGCTATTAGGATATTCGGTTGCTACTGCGTTTCTAGCTATGTTGATTAGATTTGTCTGTAGAAAAAACAATTGTACTTATGTTAAAGCGTACACAAGACAAATTTTACTTTAATTTGATTGACAAATCATACTGTCACTCACATACAACTTTCCATGCCAGCTCCAGTTACTAGGAACATAAAAGTTTTCTTCCATACAATCTGCCATCTGTTGAAACTCTTCTTCCTTCTGATCTCTATATGCAAATGAAATTGAATGAAAGTTTGCCAATGTTTTCAGAAGCGTAGTGCATTCCACAAAGTCTATACAGTTCTGGCGAGATGCTTGTTTGTATCCCAAGAGAGAAGCATCTTCCAAGACGATGAAATCGTTCTCGCCATCCATGTAAGAAACTAGGTAATGTGGTATGCGCAACAAATCGCTTTGTCCTCGTTCAGCCAAAAACTTCTCAAATTTAGGAACCACCTAAACAAACCTTGTATGTGTTCAAGATCGATCATTGTATATGTTTCTAGACAAATATACAGTTTATTGGTTTCATTACATCTTTAAAAACACATGTGTAGTTTTACACATCTTTTTTTTAAATATGTGTAGTCATTTTTAAAAAAGATATGTAGTCTTACTTGTGTATAAAACGCAATTTCTTGGCTGAAGAATTCCGCACTTTTGAAAGTTTTTCTTCTGCCGACGTTTTTCGGGATGGACTTGACAACGAAATTCACTTGCACATTTTGCTTCGGATCACCGTCCACGACACCGTATACTGTGCATCTCTTAACAGTTGACAAGTAATTGTCACCTTTGGTAAACCCATCGCCAAAACTCCAATCTGTAAGCTGCACTTGTTTCCCATTGTTTGCTTTACAGAGGATGTCCATCAGTGTTTTTTCTGTGAACTTGTCACTTACTTCACTCAGTTTGACACGATTTTTATCTTGACTCATGATTCTACCTGCAAACTTTATACAATCTTGATGAAAAGTGCTAATAATAATAATTTTCTAAATAGTAATAGTTCTTTAAATACTTAAATACTTATATACCCAGATAGCCAAATGATAGCAGTATGCCAGCAATATGCCACGCAGTTCTAATCAGCACTTCGCAGCAGATTCCACTCAGCTGTGTCCCTAATATGAGTGAAATATGTAGTGANGATATGCAAAGAAAGAAACATAACCAAAATGCAGGAATAAATGAAGAAAAGTTTATCGTCACGACATGAAAGATATTGTACAGCTGATATCAATTAGGAACTGCTAGTACAGTTACTGACAGCAGATTTACTACAAAAATGCAGCATGTTC